GTGGCAACTGTGGCCCAATCTGCCTCCTGTCTGTAATCTATAAGCTTTGCATACTGGTCTCTCTTTACAGGGATGACAGAACACCAGTATAAATGAAGAACAGCTATGTGAACAAGCAGGGACCTGAAGGGACAACAGGGACTCTGGTCAGTGTGGTCGATCATATCCCCACATCGCAGGACGTTCTAGAGTGTCAGAAGACTACAGAATATTGTTATGCCTTACGTTCCTAAACTTGACGAAAACCACTGATATTGATGATATGAAGCGGTAATCGAAGCTGTGGAAGAATTGAGGGTTATTACACAATGTGCTTCGTGAGCTCTACTGTAGCACCGCGACCTGGCCTTTATCATTCTAGTCGTCTAGCGATTACTACTGCAGGTTTGGCATACTATTCCTGCCGACTTTATGCATCATGCCAAGAAGCGCAGAGCCTCTTGACTCAACAGCCTTTCTTTCACTCGATCGAGTTGTGAAAACATGGGCTTTCCGCTGAATAGTTCACTGAACATTGATGCATACGTCTTCGCTCCCGTCTATAGTGTCCACGACCCTAAACAAACAGTTCCACGGAATGAGCATGTGATGTAGAATGAGCCGCGCGATCTCTTCACGGCATTGTTAACCTTTATAGATGTAAAAAATTAGCACTTCTAGTTCCGATTCGATCACCCCTGGAACTAAGGTCAACCTCCTTTTTCTTCAGCTTCATTGAAAAGCAAATTGTAAGTATTACATTCCACGAGGTCAAAGCTGTTTAAAAGTCGGATGGAATATCATGGACAAAATCTCTTAAAAACTGGAATGGCAGGGAGACCGAAGGAAAATGGGAAGCATTGGAAAGATTGTACCGTACTCTAAGCGTGAAGTATAGTATTATTGAATGAAGGATGTTTGAATGATGACATAGAATGGTTTTCGGTCGACATGGCGCAGCAAAGATCACTTCCAAACAGTATTAAAGGACGTCGGTGGAAGGTTACACTTAACACTGCGAGAGGACACCGGATATCATTGCCAACGACATGGTGAGTTTTTCCAGTCGAGTTTGGTCCCATCACTTACAAATATGCACTTAACGAAAATCCACATCTAAATCTACATTATTGTTAAATCTACATTAATTTCTAAAAAGTAATAAATCAATGTCAACGAATTTAGAAAACAATCACATAATATGATCCAGTTAACTAGATAATAGAGAAAAGACTTCTCCTGATGCCAATCAATCCCATTGCTAGTTTGCGCCCTGCATTCGTCTCTCATTCAGAATCGTAGTGGCGTTTCGAATGTACGTGGCCAAAAAGGGTTTGAGGTGGCCACCCAATGTAAAAGCCACCACTTTTGCGTCCCTAACGAGTCTATACCAAGTAATCGAGCCTAGAGGAATGGAAGCCTTGGATGGTCTGGGGGTTTGTCGATTAAAGAATCGATCTCTAGTCGATACGTGTGATAGTGTGCCACTTGCTACTTGCTCTACGCCAATTCTGTCTTCTACAATATCATGAAATCATGTAGAAGAATAGATCTGTCCAGTTTCCAAAACAATATAAGTATTATAGAAAATATGCAGTTGTTAACATTGTTAAAAAATGCAGTGTTAAAATTCAAGATAGCTCTGGTGCTGTATTCTGAGTAGGATTAATGGTTCGTCCTAATCGAGTAATACACATAGAAAACGACGGAAAGCTATATTCCACAAAGAGTATTCTCTTACAGAACAGCGTCAAGTATAATTGTCTTAATGTAAAAGATTAGACATACACAGCAACACCAGTTCTACCTTTTCGCAACTAGATAGTACCACATTAGTAATCATATAGAGTAGTAGAATTATTAATAATGCTGACAATTTCAGATCAACAAGCTTATTCTTCTCGCAGTCGTCATCGCTATTACTTGCAGTGGTGAGTTATGCGAATAATAAAAACACATACTCTTGAAGAGTTAACCGAAAATAGCGGTGAATTCGGTGAACTGCTAGGTTTTAGAGACATTCCAACGAACTATAAAGTCTGGAGCGGAAAAATTCTTGTTTTGGGATGCGCTCACGCCCTCGTATTTACCAGGATATCGTAGAAATTGTTGAGGGAGTATCAGACCTATACACTGAATTCCTAGTACAGCCACTGTGCAAGTCAGCGGACAATCTAGTTCGCGGAGGCAAACCTGGTACTAGTTGATCTCAAAAGGACGAAAGGAAATGCTAGGCTGAGATGCCTAGGATTCATCTCATGAAAATGAACGCGATAGTGGTGCAACTTGGCAAGTTAATTATATTAGCAAGAACAGCTCAGTTTTGTCTAAGAACGCTAATTTATACTATCACCTCTAACTAAGGAGCGACTAGTAGGAATTTCATCACACCAAATCTCTTTCCGCATTGACCGAATTTGCATTGGCGAAACATTTCAAAGGCACAGTTTACTGCAATTTTAGGGGGTCTAGTTTAAGACGAATAGTGAAAGCGGTAGTCTAGTATATGTAGTGGCGAAAAATCGGCTTAGTTAGAGATATACAGGGCGTCGAAAAGAAGTAAAATTAGGAGTTGGACAAGAATTTGACGACAAAAGTTGCATGGAGGGGTAGTTGGACTGTGCGATTGCGTGCTTCTCGCTACAGTAAGCTGTCTGCGCGCAACGGTGCGGATGGAACCTCTACAGCCTTCACGAGGCCGTAGAACTCGTCCGCCCTTCGGTGTGTACATTGGCCAAGCCAATTTGGGACCCGTATTACGCCCTACCTAGGTCGTCTTTCGACGCGGCAGCGTTCCTTGTTCTTTTCTTGAGAGTCACAGATTCATCCTAGGGAAAAAATTTAAGAAAAATTTTATATCGTAAACTGCGCCTTCAAACATTGAATGATTTGCAAGGACATGGTATCCTTGCCATTAGTTGTTTGCAGTGAAACAATGTGGACTGAATGAGGAATACAGGGAATGTGGTATTGCCTGCGAATCAAAATGTAACGAGCCGGAACCAGCATTCTGCACGATGAACTGCATTGCGGACGTATGTCAATGCAAGCAAGGTTTTAAACGCGGTCAGAGAGGGTGTATGCCTCAAGGGCCAGATTGTACGTAATTCTCCGTAACATCTCAGTGTTTCTATATTCTTATGTATTTCAATAAAAATATCACAATATTTATTGACATTGACTAATTGCACTTGATCAACATGCTTAAGAGCTATATATTTATATGACTATAACTTTTTCCGTTTGTATGTTGTTTTGCGTGCTGGTCCGCAAAAAGTAGCGGACGAGCGCGATGAGGAGTGTGAAAGGGTGTATGTCGTTTGGCGCGATGGGCGGGATCGTGCCGCCCGTTTGAGGTGGCGCGACTCTGCCCATCGCGCCTTCAACTCGTTCAGATCGCGTAATCTTCTGCTCTCCTCTCCTCTATTGATGATAGAAGCCCAATCGAACATCAATAGAGGAGAGGAGAGCAGAGGATTGCGCGATCTGAACGAGTTGAAGGCGCGATGGGCGGCGTCGCGCCACCTCAAATGGGCGGCGCGACCCCGCCCATCGCGCCAAACGACCGCCTCCCGTGTGAAAGCTGCAGAAAAGAGAGTAGGCGGGTTGAGAGAACTTCTACATTTGCATCAGTTTGCTTCAGGCATCATCGAGCACTGTTCCATAATATCTCTGATGCTTAATCTTTTGAAGTTGTAGTTTAATTCAAGCGAAATTTTGAATGTAAATGTTCATTATGGTTTCGCACTTGAGGCAACCTTTACTCTTAACCTTCTGATGCGTGATTCGTAGAAACGAAGCCTCAGTGAATGTTCAGGTGATGCAGTAACAGGTATATAGAGCATGAAAAATGTTTCTCTATCTCCCTTGAGTAAGATTGTAGGTAAGCGGTTGTCGGCATGTGATGTATGCGTGAGCGGGCGTAGCCTAACCGGTAGACAGATAATGTTTTGCGGCATCACTCCCGGATGTATAGTTGGTGGTTCTTCTGAGCAACCTTGTACTTTGTATTATACAATTCTTTTATTCTCTTAGATACTGTTGATACAAAGCTTCAATAGTAAGCGAATTACAACATTTCTAGAGTCACCTTCATATCAAATTCCTCCGACATCGTTACTAAGGCTATCAAAACTATTTGAACCTTGATCATTGACTTGACTCGACTATTAATACTTACATACCTTTCGCTTACCTATCTCTTTTGTGGGTCCGCCTGTGGATGAAACTAGCAGCCGGATCTTCCCCGACTCCAAGAAAAGACTCCTCTGTAGTCTGCCATTTGTGTCCGGGATCCTCAGACATGACTGCTCGTAGGCCGATCCTCAAGCCGCAGGGAGAGACAGAAAATCGCGAGACCCTGCCAGAGTTCCTGCCGCGACGTCCCGTCGGAGCCGGACTCGAACATACAAGTTTCTTCTCCCAAAGCTATCGTGAGCCTCTATACGTCATGGGCGGACTTAGCAATACATCATGAAGAGAGGGTTCATGTCAGATAAGCTAGGCCTAGTAGGAACGGCAACGATGTTGAAAGAGTTTGATCAAGGTATTTTGTTAATGCAATGATCTCTACCCGTACTTGGACGGCGGCCAATATTCTCCAGGTAATGAATCAACACTGTTTATCTGCTTTCGAGTAAATTAATCACAGTATGCATAAGTATATTAATTAAGAATCATCAAAAAGCCGACATCGGACTCATGGCCAGGAAATTCGTGAATCACAATTGCTAACGATTTTCTATAGGAATGCCTGGTACACTGCTGTCCTTCCTATCATAATCCTAGGCAAACAGTCATGCATCTGGCAAATCGTAATCAGGAAAAAAAAGGTGTGGGTCAGGATGGGGAACTACGGCCATCCAATCGTAATATGCGCAGCACCTCAGCTAGTGGTATCAGGACTCGACCAGCAGCACATCCTGACCCATGCCGGAAAAAATAGTGCATTTTAACAAAAAGCTTTACAACCCGAAAAGGATGAGGAACGAGTCATATACTGGCTAGTATTTGATGACCTCATGGTGGTGATATTGGCTGGTAAAGCATTGGATTCATTGTCACATATTTTGTGTCGAGCGTCGGCCGATATGGAAACAGTAAACGTGACTGGTATCCGAAATGCTCATAGAGATCACGGTTCAGCAAAGACATCCTGAAAAAGTTTGCCATTTCAACCACACTGGATTCCAAGCAGAGGTATATTTTTGAGGATTTCAAGGTAAAAAGAAGGGTGCAGATTCCCCGAAACGTTCCTAGAATGAGTTACAAAAGACCGCTTTGCTTTGTACCAGTCCCCCTATCAGTCACGCAGCTCCCCCATCAGGAGGGCCAAAGGTATAGCGAGGGCTTCGCAACATAATAATGATAAGCCCGAAAAAACAATGCTTACATGCTTATCTATCAGATGACTTGCCACTGAACGTCACCAACCTGTTCCCAGTGAGTCCGAGAAGGAACTTGAGATAACCCTTGCGAATCGCTTGTGGTTCGATAACGATTTGCCAGAGAACATACGCTGTTGATACGGTGTAGAGAAACAGATCGCCATATGGCATTGGTCGCACAATGCCCTGTTTTACCAGTTCACGGAAAATAAGCTGAACATTTTGTATTTAGAAGGTAGGCCTACTAAAATGCAGTCTGCATAACCGTGCTCCTTTTTACATGGGGAGATGTCCGGCACTTGCTTACCTCGAAGGCTTTCCAGAGCACATACATAGCGATGGAAACATTCGGGAATGCTAACATAGCCAGACCTGAAGCCGTACCAGCGACGATATTATTGTATTTATGGCTTGATAGAGGTAGCCGGTTAAGTGTGCATCGGACAGTCTGAAAGTCGAAGGTTAGTGATAAACAAAAGTAAGAATTACAACATACTTACAGGTCACGGTCAAAAGAACGACTGAAAGGCACCGTTCACGATAAAAAATATTACTGAGTTCTTCCTTTAGGAATACTCAGCGTGGGTGGTAGAAGGGACCCTCTCGCTCCCACAATCTCGGCGCTTAGGGCATAGTGGAAGCCCAGTTGCTGCCGTAGTTCGCTTTCCCGCCCCTCGATCGGTGTCATGTTAGACGAGTGTCGAGACAATACAGATTGCTATTATTCGTTCTAGGACCCATGCACAATCAGCTAATCGCCGAGTGACGAGGCGATGTTTTTCTCCCATTATTTTTTCCCCTGTTTTTCTCTTTGCTGCTGCGATCCCTTATTTATTTTCCTACTCCTAGAGGCTGAAAAACGTGAGCTACTTTTGCTGTTACTAGGGGTTTTTTTGTTTATTTATGCTTATAAGTGAATGAATTTTTGCTTACCATTGTCTGTTTTTCACACCAGGACCCACACGCGCGCAGTGAAACACACTGTTTAGCTCGTCCGGTCGCCCCACTCCTCTTCATTTTTCTGGTTTCATTCTCGTCCAGCCCCCTTTTTAACAGTGTTTCGAAGCCTTTTTTCACTTTGGAAACACCGATGCACGTAGTTTCTTCACCTCAGTGCACTAGCTTCGATCTTGTCTTCCATTTTTCATCATAATCTGGATTACCCAAAATTATCGTGAACTGTGCCTTTAAGAAGTCATCGAACTACTAGTAAAGCAAAGTCGAACGGGGCTAGTCGTATTCAGTAACAAAGGGAATACAGATACATCCACAATACTGGGCCGAAAACACGGGGGCCAGCATAGCAAGCAGCCCCTTGTCGTAGAAGATTGACGTCCAATTGTCACCCTGACATAACTTATTGGGTTGTCCGAAAAGTTTCCGCCGATTTTCGACACCCTGGATTAATCAACTGTTGTACAAAAAATCAAGGGCCCAACCTCATAAAGTTATATGTTTTCTGAAAGAGTAGGTCCTCCTCTATATTACTATTAAGATTTTGTCAATATTTGTCGACGTTTTTCTGTACAGGACTCGGTTGAAAAGGGAGAAGCATTGCGCGCATTTTCGGCATCTGAAGTGTATCTTCTACCGCAAGGCCTAGAGTACGGTTCAAGCCGCAAGAAAGATATATTGCGTTTGACTAGATAATGCTCTAGAGGGACGTACAGTGCATGACTAATTTGCGAAATCCAATCAGCGTGAATTTACCCTCGAAAACCGGCAACCTCCAGGGATCAGTTCCAACGACCAAACCAAAATGTGAACCGAGGGGGATCGGCACATCACTACTCGTAGAGTAGGACAAATGCTTCATGTTACGAAATCAACCATCCATGATCATCTCCAGACACTTGGCTTTGTAAAGCGCCTTGATGTTGAGATACCTCACGAAGTGAGCGAGCGCTATGTGTTGGAAAGCGTCTCCGTGTGCGACTCCTTGCTCAAACGAAATGAGAATGAGCTGTTTTTGAAACCCATGAGTACGAAGGACGAAAAATGAATCGTGTACAATAATGAGGAGCGGAAACGATCGTGGAGCTCCCTAAAAGCCGTCACAAACCGCTGCAAAAGTCACAATCCAGGTGCGGAAGCCAATGCCGAGTTGCTGGTGGGATTTCAGGGGGAATCACTTACCATGAGCTGTTGTCGCATAATCAAACGATGACTTCAGAAAGGTACTATAGTTAGCTATTGAAGGCAGCGATAGACCAGAAGTGATCTGAACTGGCCAATCGTGAGGACATAATCTTCCAACATGGTACCTCCAGACCACACGTATTTTTGGCCACTCGCCAAAAATTGCTAAAGCCTGGGTGGGATGTCTTACCACACCCTCATATAGTCCGGACACAGCACCATCAAAATAAGACATTTTTAGGTTTCTGCAAAATTCTTTGAATGGAAAATCGTTCAATCCGCTGGAGGACTGCAAAAAGCACCTGAGAGAGTTTTTCGATTTTAGTCTGGAACCTTCCATGCTAGTGGGAAATTGGAACCTACAGGAAGACGGCGAACCCTTACTAACAGATTGGAGAATATATTGTTCAATCAATGGATTTCTTCTTTTAGGAATATTCATTCAAAGATGAGTCAAAAATCGGCGGAGACTTTTCGGACAACCCAATACTAAGATGAGAAGTGGAAAAGAACTGTTTCCGTCAGATTCAAATCTGCCAAGCAATACAGGTGACGTACCAGATGCTGAAATTGGTCATGAAGGTTACCACCCTAGGAGAAAGTAGTGAGGGGGGGGGGGGCTGGAAAGCTGACACCCTTCATTTTTTTACCTTCCGGTGTTACACTATTTTTTCGTATTTACTATTTACTTAAATCAACTTGATAGCTGCCTACATAAACATTAGATAGATGTGCTGTTCTTGCGCGGAGCTCCACGCCTTTGTTAAATCCAGTCAAGAACTCCGAGTAGTTGTCTACACGGTTGAATAACCTGGTCATACGATATTTTCAAGTTTCCAGTAAAGAATGGGGGATGAGGTGCTTCAAATGCTTCGTCATCCAGGTTCGTTTTGCTAGATTTCATCTTCATCAAAAAGTGAACATACGAGAAGCGCAGAAGCAGAAAGGTAAATCTATACAGCGTGGTTTGTCAAAAAATAAGTACTAACTAATTTTCCTTCTCTACTATCGTCTGAACAAATTTCCGGCAACGCGATGGTTGGTAGGAAAAGGAAGAGCGGAAAGGACTACCTGTTCAGTAGATATATTTGGTGTGCTGCTTCTAAAGAGACTGCCGAAAATTCCACAGTGGCCCTTGTTTCTCTCGGGAATATCTGGAGCTACTATAAAGGACACCACTCACTTGTATGCGCAAATATATCAGGAGATTCTATGATATCAAGATTGGTTCACCAGTTCGAGGTCCATCTCTACCTTTATGTTTCAAGCTGTGAAGCGTTGGATAAAGGTTTGCACAGAACTGCTTGAAAGGGACTTCAAGGCCAAATGCTTGGCACAAGTTCAAACGGGTTGGGCAGCAGAAGGACCGGAGCTCGTGGTGAAATTATCGTTGAATATGAGTAGACAGTTCAGCCACTATACGATCAAACAAGCAAGGAAAAGAATCGAGATTGGCGCAAAGTTTTGTAGTGATTCTTTCTGCAGATTTTAATACATACGTGAAGGTGCGATGCCACTTTCTTAATGTTCTATAAGGACTGAGGAGGAAAATAATAAAACACAGTAAGAAAGCGATAAAGAAATCAGGACATGTCTTTAATGGCTGAAAATAAACCAAATATGCTAAGGAGAATTCTAGGAATGCTAAACAAAAGTTCGAAGAAAAAAAAAGATTTGAAAAAAAGGATTTCTAAACAACCTACATGAAATATGAGTGGCATCAAACCGTAGAAGGTCGGTATCCGCAAAATGGACTTGGAAAACAACTTCTCCCTGATTATCGATGGATTCGAGAATAGAGCCGACACATTTTGGGCCAACGTCAATGCAACACTAGCACCTAGACCGATCGTGAAATTGTAGCCGAAACTCTGAAAAAGACCTTTTCACTTAAAAGGTACCTTCTTATGACTACAGGAGAAGCCGCTGACAGTTTAAACTATATAAGGGTAAGCGATTTCAACAAATTCAAACTTGGAGGTTGGAGGTCTTTTCGGTAAGAGCTTATTTGTCATGCTGAGTCAGAAATCACAAGAGCCATGCGATGATTCACATTTATTATGTCCTAGGATGGTGGATGCGGCGTCGTGAAAAGAAAAGTTGCATACTGTCACAAGCGCCTGGTCCGGGAATCGAATCTCGAATTGACACCCGTCCAGGCCAGCCGAACCCCTCCCTCCTGGTTCGATTAAATCGTACTTTCCCGGCTGGCTGAATAAAATCGTTGACCTGCACATTCATGTATAGGCCAAATACACATTCGAAATACCGCTACGCTCAAAATCGAAGTCGTATGCAAGGGCATGTCCCAGAACGGGTTAATTAACGTCGCAAGGACTTGATTCTTCACCCTTTATGTTTTTAAAAAGCGAAGGATTTCTAATGGATCATTCCTCATTGAAGCAGGCCGATGTGGTGGATAAGGGTTCTACCCTGACGCAAAAAAAATCCGAAGAAGTGCAGTGGGAATGAGACATTACACTTGCTCTTCTACTCGATTAAGCCATCAGGGAGACAAACAATCAAGCTCTTGATGGCAGGGACGTGAAAAATTCGTGGACATAAGTTTTACTGCATAATGGAATTGAGTAAAGAAACTTATGTAAGACCTTATAGAAGAACAAAACTTTTAACTGTTCACCTCAGCCACAGTACTGACGCACGAATTCTGATGGACACACTGCTCTGTCCTGCCGTACTTCCTTCGCAGTTCATACAGAAATCCTCTGAACTCTTTCGGCAGAGGATATTCCTTGACGATATCTCTTTCTCCATTGAGATTATGCGTAAATCTGTAATATGGCATTCAGTAATCGTTTATGTAGACTGATAGCTCGAAACAATTCTGATAAGTCTTGCTGAATGCTTTAGTGGAATTACTATGAAATCAAGCAGTAAAGATTAAATTGACTTCACATTAAGTGGTGGAAAAAGTTGTATTTTGTGAGGGAGGATAAAGTATTTGCTTTGGCTAGAGCTACGACAAAATATACTGAAATAAAAGACAAATAAAACAACAGAATTTGCTTTCAAATTCATTCTGAAGGAGGCTGTTTCGAAAGCGATTTCGAAGCTTCTCTACATTGAACTTCCTTGACTTTCCTTCGCTTAATAAAGAATGATGAAGATCACCTTTCCTTCGCGCAGCGGTACCCACACCCTCCGGGTAAGTGTGTTGGTACTGTACTCGTCTGAGAGGATAAAAGCACAACTTGTACATCGGCTGACCACCACTGGCCACTGTTTTGGCCACACACGCATTTAAACGGCTACTACACTAAAATTTCTGAAGATTTCATTTTCTGGATGTTCTAAACAATTCTGAATGGAAGTCGAATGCGAGGCGCATCTCAAATACGGGATCTATTAGATGTCAAAGACTTTACCCTTCATGCTCATTCATAATGAATCTCAATACCAGTGCTCTACCTCTCCCGATAACTCTGATTGGCAAGGAGTACTCACAGTCATTGATTGTCTCTCTGCCGGAAGAATCAATTTTTTGTGGGTGGATGAACACGTGATCGCAACACTCGCATCATCATCATCATTCGTCTCGTGTACCGTTCGAGTGCGGCGGCTAACCATCCCGCTCTGCACTGCTCATATTTCTAT